TTTTATTATATTACTAGCCGTCCCCTGCCACGCGTTGCTGTGGCCCACATCAGGGTTCTGTGTGGGAGGTTTAGCCCAATTCTATCGTTGGTGGTGTTGAGAATGCTCTGTGATTGTAGGTGAACTATAATTTTTTTATTTTAATATTATTTTTTTAAAAAAAAAAAAGGAAGGAAGAAAAAAAGAAGAAAGGAAAGAAGGAAGGAAAAAGAAAGGGAAAAGGAAGAAAGGAACAAAGGAAGGAAGGAAAGAAAGAGAGAAGGAAAAAGGATTCATCGTTGGTGGGGTTCAGAATGCTCTGTGATTGTAGGTGAACTATAAATCCCAGCAACTACAACTCCCAAATGTCAAGAATCTATTTTCCCCAAACTCCACCAGTGTTCACATTTGGGCATATTGAGTATTCGTGTAGAGTTTGGTCCAGATCCGTCATTGTTTGAGTCCACAGTGATCTCTGGATGTAGGTGAACTACAACTCCAAAAGCAAAGGACACTTCCAGTATTTTCTGTTGGTCATAGGATTTCTGTGTGCCAAGTTTATTTATTTATTTATTTATTTACTTTGCTTATATACCGCTGTATCTCAAGCCCGAAGGCGACTCACGGCGGTTCACAAACAGTAAAAACAGTAGAAACAGCAGTGGTTCCATACAACATATAACAATTGACTTAACACATTATCCATAAATTACCAATAAGCAATTACAATGCACAATTATTACAAAAAACAACCGTACCCAATCTTCTCATCATCCAAGCGTAGTCCAGGTTCGTCGTCCCTTGTTCCATTCCTATGTTCCATTACCAGAAAGTTTGGTTCAATTCTAAAATTGGTGGGGTTCAGAATGCTCTGTGATTGTAGGTGAACTATAAATCCCAGCAACTGCAACTCCCAAATGTCAAGGTCTTTTCCCCTCAAACTCCACCAGTGTTCACATTTGGGCGTATTGTGTGCTTGTGCCAAGTTTGGTCCAGATCCATCATTGTTTGAGTCCACAGTGCTCTCTGGATGTAGATGAACTACAACTCCCAAATTCAATGTCAATGCCCACCAAACCCTTCCAGTATTTTCTGTTGGTCATGGGAGAACTGTGTGTCAAGTTTGGTTCAATTCCATCGTTGGTGGGGTTCAGAATGCGCTTTGATTGTAGGTGAACTATAAATCCCAGCAAATACAACTCCCAAATAACAAAATCATAATTTTTTGAGTGATGGTCACTCCTTGTGTTGTGAGACGTTTTGTTGTCTAATTTGGTGTGATTTCGTTCATTGGTTCTTTTGTTTTTAAGGTACTGATAATGCCCAGAGCATTTATATATATAGATAGATTAATGTTTTTAATTGTATTTATGGTACTGTGGGCATTATATTTTGTCCTTGAGTCGCCTGCGGGATGAGAAAGGCGGTATACAAAAACAGTAAACAAGTAAATAAATAATGTATTTCAAAAATACAGAGTTTTAAAAAAACTTGGCATTCTACTAAATGTCTTTTCTATGCCCAGAAGGGAGTTTCTCATCAGTTCTCAGCCACTCATTGAGGCTCTGGGTTTTAACCTGCCTCTTTTGGACTCTCGCTTGCTGAGGTGTGCATTTCTGTAGATCTTAGGAAGCTAAGGATCTCTCATTCAGTATCAGAATCCTAGAGTTGGAAGAGATCTCGTGGGCCATTCAGCCCAACCCCATTCTGCCAAGAAGCAGGAAAACTGCTTTCAAAGCATCCCCAGCAGATGGCCATCCAGCCTCTGTTTCAAAGCCTCCAAAGAAGGAGCCTCCACCACACTCCGGGGCAGAGAGTTCCACTGCTGAACGGCTGTCACAGTCAGGAAGTTTTCCCTAATGTTCAGATGGAATCTCCTCTCTTGTAGTTTGAAGCCATTGTTCTGTCCTAGTCTCCAGGGCAGCAGAAAACAAGCGTGCTCCCTCCTCCCTATGACTTCTCTCACATATTTATACGTGCCTATCATGTCTCCTCTCAGCTTCGAGGAGAACAAGCTGGAATGTGTCCGGAGAAGGGCGACTAAAATGATCAAGGGTCTGGAGAACAAGCCCTATGAGGAGCGGCTTAAAGAGCTGGGTATGTTTATCCTGCAAAAGAGAAGGCTGAGAGGAGACATCATAGCCATGTGTAAATATGTGAGAGGAAATCATAGGGAGGAGGGAGCAAGCTTGTTTTCTGCTTCCCTGGAGACTAGGACGCAATGGGACAATGGCTTCAAACTACAAGAAAGGAGATTCCATCTGAACATGAGGAAGAACTTCCTGACTGTGAGAGCCGTTCAGCAGTGGAACTCTCTGCCCCGGAGTGTGGTGGAGGCTCCTTCATGGCCATCTGTCGGGGGTGCTTTGAATGCAATTTTCCTGCTTCTTGCTAGAATGGGGTTGGACTGGATGGCTCATGAGGTCTCTTCCAACTCATGTATAAATATGTGAGAGGAAGCCACAGGGAGGAGGGAGCAAGCTTGTTTTCTGCTTCCCTGGAGACTAGGACGCGAAACAATGGCTTCAAACTACAAGAAAGGAGATTCCATCTGAACATGAGGAAGAACTTCCTGACTGTGAGAGCCGTTCAGCAGTGGAACTCTCTGCCCCAGAGTGTGGTGGAGGCTCCTTCTTTGGAAGCTTTTAAACAGAGGCTGGATGGCCATCTGTCAGGGGTGATTTGAATGCAATATTCCTGCTTCTTGGCAGGGGGTTGGACTGGATGGCCCATGAGGTCTCTTCCAACTCTATGATTCTATGATGACAGTATCACCAATGGATTGAGGTTCTGGGTTTTAGCCTGCCACTTTTGGACTCTCATTTGCTGAGGCGTTCCTGCAACTATCTCTGTAGATCTTAGGAAACTATTTCTTGACTTAAGGTGTTGGTTCGCTGACTCATATCTGAACAGAGGACGGGCCGGAGATGTCACTGCCTTGGTCCTTTCGTTGCTGGTTGCTACTTCCCAGCAGATGTGGTGCAATACTGGATAAACAATATAATTTTTCTAGTGGTATAGGACGCAGACATCCTGTGATAATGTATCACGTCTCATTAAGAGCCACATTCACTGTTTTAATGTGGGCGTCTTTAAGCAGAGGCTGGATGGCCATCTGTTCGGAAGGCTTTGATGGTATCTTCCTGCCTGGCGGAAGAGGATTCAACTGGATGGCCCTTGGGATCTCTACCAACTCTAGGAGTCAATAATAATAATAACTAGCGGTCCCCTGCCACACGTTGCTGTGGCCCAGTCTGGTGATATGGAAAATAAAGTAATTAGAAAGTGCTGTAATGTCTTTATACTTGTGGGTAAACAGTATTTCTTGACATTTCTTTGACAGTGTTGACGTAGAGATTGTCTGGTTTGCCTACTCTGGAACATGCAACATATAATTGTCCATGTTTAGGGGTCCCTTTCAAATCTATAATACTTTATCTGTGTGTGTGTGAATCATATATATCTATCTATATCTATGGCTGGATGGTTCTCTGTCAGGAGGGTTTTGATTACGTTTTCTTGCCCTGGTGAAGGGAGTTGGGCTCGATGGCCTTAAGTATTTTCTGTTGGTCAGGGGGGTTCTGTGTGGGAAGTTTGCCCCAATTCTGTCATTTGTGGGGTTCTTTGATTGTAGGTGAACTATAAATCCCAGCAACTACAACTCCCAAATGCCAAGGTCTATTTCCCCCCAATTCCATCTGTGTTCATATTTGGTCATATGGAATATTCATGCCAAGTTTGGTCCAGATCCATCATTCTTTGAGTCCACAGTGCTCTCTGGATCTAGGTGAACTACAACTCTCAAACTCAAGGTCAATGCCCACCAAACGCTGCTAGTATTTTCTGTTGGTCATGGAAGTCCTGTGTGCCAAGTGCACAGTGCTCCCTGAACTATAAATCCCAGCAACTACAACTCCCAAATGTCAAGATCTATTTTCCCCAAACTCCACCAGTGTTCACATTTGGGCATATTGAGTATCCGGCCAAGTTTGGTCCAGATCCATCGTTATGTGCTCTGGATGTAGGTGAACTACAACTCCCAAACTCAAGTCCAATGCCCTCCAAACCCTTCCATTATTTTGGAGGTCATGGGAGTTCTGTGTACCAAGTTTGGTTCAATTCCATCGTGGGTGGTGTTCAGAATGCTCTTTGATTGTAGGCGAACTATAAATCCCAGCAACTACAACTCCCAAATGACAATATCAATCTCCCCCTGAACCCCACCGGTATTCAAATTTGGGCGTATTGGGTATTTGTGCCAAATTCATACATCAGATATTTACATTATGATTCATAACAGTGGCAAGACTATAGTTACAATGTAGCAGCGAAAATAATGTTATGGTTGGGGGTCACCATGACAAGATTAAGGGATCGTGGTATTAGGAAGGTTGAGAACCACTGTTAGAGAGCCATGGCAGTTTAGTTATCCGGTGCCAAACTGCATCCGTTCAGGCATCTGAACATGAGGAAGAACTTCCTGACTGTGAGAGCCGTTCAGCAGTGGAACTCTCTGCCCCGGAGTGTGGTGGAGGCTCCTTCTTTGGAAGCTTTTAAACAGAGGCTGGATGGCCATCTGTCAGGGGTGATTTCAATGCAATATTCCTGCTTCTTGGCAGAATGGGGTTGGACTGGATGGCCCATGAGGTCTCTTCCAACTCTTTGATTCTATGATTCTATGATTCTGTCCTTTCATTGTAAGAGGAAAACCTGGATTAAGCCATCAATGCTTATCACAGACCCATCTCAGGACAATAAAGTGGCTTCTCTGGAAGGCCGATCCCCGGACTTGATAAGCCTAAGGACATTAAAACTCCATAATCCACTCCAGAATGCATTGTCTCCCTTCATCCCGCCTCCCTCCCTTCTGATTCGCTGGAGCGTCGAGATAGCAGGAGCCTCCTGATAGGCTCTGGTGCCCTGCGAAAGTCCTGCGATTGGCCCTGATTCATGGGGGACAGCCAAGTTTGCCCATACCTGGTCGAGATGTACCTTGGGCGGTCTCCCGCAATGGCCCACTAAGCCCAAAGAACACAGAGATTCTATGATTCTATGGGTAATCTTCATCCCACAGAGTGTTTTGGACTCCAACTCCCACAATTCCTAATGCTTATCACAGACCCATCTCAGGACAATAAAGTGGCTTCTCTGGAAGGCCGATCCCCGGACTCGATAAGCCTAAGGACATTAAAACTCCATAATCCACTCCAGAATGCATTGTCTCCCTTCATCCCGCCTCCCTCCCTTCTGATTCGCTGGAGCGTCGAGATAGCAGGAGCCTCCTGATAGGCTCTGGTGCCCTGCGAAAGTCCTGCGATTGGCCCTGATTCATGGGGGACAGCCAAGTTTGCCCATACCTGGTCGAGATGTACCTTGGGCCTCCCGCAATGGCCCACTAAGCCCACAGAGATACGCCGTTTCCGCATGAGACAAGGGATGAGAAAGCCTTCCAGGATGTTTTGCTGTTTATTTGCCGTCTCCCTCGCCCACCGCCGACCCTCGCCCGCCTGCCCCCCCCCCCCTCCCCCCGCCCGCCCCCCTCCCCGGCTCAGTCGAGCGGCCCCTGGAAGATGAGCCGGACGAAGCCCTGCTGGCCCGTGAGCCACGTGCCACAGAAGGGGCAGGCGGCGTGGAAGGCGTGGGTGCCGTGGGGCAGCGGGATCTGGGCCCAGTACTGCACAGTCTTGGCGGAGCAGACGTGGCCGCAGGGGCAGAAGGCGTGGGTGGGCCGCCCAGCGCCCAGGTAGAGCCCGGCTTCGCATCCCAGCCAGAGTGGCACGTAGGGACCTGCCCGCCGGCACATGGGGCACTCCCGCTCCAGGCCCCCTTTCTCCTTGCGGAAACCCCAGTTGTGGAAGCCGTGGACGTGGCCGCAGTTGACGTAGACCCAGGGCTGCTTCTTCTCGACCACCCCGCGCTGCGCAAAGCTGGGGAAGGCTAGGGTGCTGAAGCCCACAGGGCACTGTGGCCGGGCGGCATTGATCTCCTGGCGCAGCGCTTCCAGTTGCTGCAGCGTTGGGGTGCACAGGAGCCCCTCCGAGGTCCGCCACAGCAGTGTGGCACCGCACAGGTCGATCAGCGAGCCGTCCTGGAGCACGTTGGACTCCGACTCCACCTGGAGAGACACAGGAGAGAACCGTACGACCGTGGGCACAACATCTACCGTTGGGGAAAGTTAGCAGCTGAAGGGAAAAGGAAGGAAAGAACATCTATATGGTTTCACAAATTGACTGTTTGTGTTTGTAACTTCATCAAGCTGTGCCAAGTGGAGTGCCGCAGGGTTCCGTCCTGGGCCCGGTCCTGTTCAACATCTTTATTAATGACTTAGATGAAGGGCTAGAAGGCAGGATCATCAAGTTTGCAGACGACACCAAATTGGGAGGGATAGCCAATACTCCAGAGGACAGGAGCAGGATTCAAAACGATCTTGACAGATTAGAGAGATGATGGCCAAAACTAACAAAATGAAGTTCAACAGGGGACAAATGCAAGATACTCCACTTTGGCAGAAAAAACGAAATGCAAAGATACAGAATGGGGGACGATGCCTGGCTCGAAAGCAGTACATGTGAAAAAGATCTTGGAGTCCTCGTGGACAACAAGTTAAACATGAGCCAACAATGTGATGTGGCGGCAAAAAAGCCAATGGGATTTTGGCCTGCATCAATAGGAGCATAGTGTCTAGATCTAAGGAAGTAATGCTCCCCATGCTCTATTCGCTTTGGTTAGACCACACCTGGAATATTGTGTCCAATTCTGGGCACCACAATTGAAGAGAGATATTGACAAGCTGGAATGTGTCCAGAGGAGGGCCACTAAAATGATCAAGGGTCTGGAGAACAAGCCCTATGAGGAGCGGCTTAAGGAGCTGGACATGTTTAGCCTGAAGAAGAGAAGGCTGAGAGGAGACATGATAGCCATGTATAAATATGTGAGAGGAAGCCACAAGGAGGAGGGAGCAAGCTTGTTTTCTGCTTCCTTGGAGACTAGGACGCGGAACAATGGCTTCAAACTACAAGAGAGGAGATTCCATCTGAACATGGACTGTGAGAGCCGTTCAGCAGTGGAACTCTCTGCCCCGGAGTGTGGTGGAGGCTCCTTCTTTGGAAGCTTTTAACCAGAGGCTGGATGGCCATCTGTCAGGGGTGATTTGAATGCAATATTCCTGCTTCTTGGCAGAATGGGGTTGGACTGGATGGCCCATGAGGACTCTTCCAACTCTTTGATTCTATGATTGGAGATGCACCAAGCTCCTTCTTGGAGCATAATAATAATAATAATAATAATAATAATAATAATAATAATAATATAATAAATATGTGTGCTGGTGTGGCTATACTGAATTTGAACATGACCCCCCCCCCCCCATTAGAGATAGTAACTTATAGTTTTGCTAAGGGCAAGGACACCAGACTGGATAATAAGGGTTAAGCCTTGGTCAATTTGGTGTGTATCATTTAATCAAGGCTTTATGCCCTATTTTCATATGTTTACAGCAGAAAGTAACCAATTTATTACTGAAAATCATGCCACAAAAGTATTTGAATTTTTCCATCTGAGACACACCTGGGCTCCTGATGGTCCCCCATCTCACAAACAAGGGACTCTCTTTCCCCCTCATGGATATATTTCCCTTTATGGACACTGGGGGAAGGTAGTTGGGTTTACTATCTGTATTATGATTTCTATATTTTCATATTTTCTCCTGTATTTCTATATTTCCCTTCATGTATTTGACCTTGCCCTGACCCTTTTGCCCCCTTCCCTTCTCCTTGAGGGGAAAACTACAAGGAAGCTGCCCTGCCTCTGGAAAAGCAATCAGCGATCATGAAAAGACCCTTATCTTTGGACATTCTTTGCATGGACAATAGTCAAGGAAATCCTTTTGTCTTCGGAGTTGGGCCACCATTAGGATTTCTGTTTGGCAGACTTTTTAATCATATAACAATGGGGGGAATATGAGCTTAGGAATGCAAAGGCATTGGGGGGTTACAAGTTAATGGTGTAACATTAGAAAATGTTGACCATTTCTGCTACCTTGGCAGCCACCTCTCCACCAAAGTCAACATCGACGCCGAAATACAACACCGCCTGAGCTCTGCGAGTGCAGCATTTTCCCGAATGAAGCAGAGAGTGTTTGAGGACCGGGACATCCGTAGGGAGACCAAGGTGCTTGTCTATAAAGCTATTGTCCTCCCAACCCTGCTCTATGCCTGTGAGACGTGGACTGTCTACAGACGTCACATGCAACTCCTGGAACGATTCCATCAGCGCTGCCTCCGGAAAATCCTGCAAATCTCTTGGGAAGACAAGCGGACAAATGTCAGCGTGCTGGAAGAAGCAAAGACCACCAGCATTGAAGCGATGGACCTCCGCCATCAACTCCGCTGGTCTGGATGCCTGACCACTGTCTCCCAAAGCAGTTGCTCTACTCTGAACTTAAGAACGGAAAACGAAATGTTAGTGGACAGGAAAAGAGATTTAAAGATGGGCTCAAAGCCAACCTTAAAAACTCTGGCATAGACACTGAGAACTGGGAAGCCCTGGCCCTTGACTGCTCCAGCTGGAGGTCAGCTGTGACCAGCAGTGCTGCAGAATTCGAGGAGGCACGAGTGGAGGGTGAAAGAGAGAAACGTGCCAGGAGGAAGGTCAAGCCAACCCCGACCGGGACCGCCTTCCACCTGGAAACCAATGCCTTCACTGTGGGAGAAGATGCGGGTCAAGAATAGGGCTCCACAGCCACCTACAAACCCACAAAAATAGTCATCAAGGAAGACCATCTTACTCGTCCAATGAGGGATCGCCTAAGAAGAAGAAGAAGGGGGGAATATGACCTTAGGAAAGTCCTCTTTTCCTCCAAGCCGTTTTTCTTTCAAGTCTTTCCACTAAGGACATTCACTAAAGTTTCCCCTTTGTGCCCTATCTGATTGTAAGAGGAAAACTCGGATTAAGCCATCAATGCGTATCACAGACCCATCTCAGGACAATAAAGTGGCTTCTCTGGAAGGCCGATCCCCGGACTCGATAAGCCTAAGGACATTAAAACTCCATAATCCACTCCAGAATGCATTGTCTCCCTTTATCCCGCCTCCCTCCCTTTTGATTCGCTGGAGCGTTGAGATAGCAGGAGCCTCCTGATAGGCTCTGGCACCCTGCGAAAGCCCTGCGATTGGCCCTGATGCATGGGGGACGGCCAAGACTCCTCCCAGCTGTTTGCGCGTCAGCCAATCCCTTTCGAGCTGGGCGGGAGGGGGGAGTGGGAATTTTGAAACTCACAACTCTGTATTTTCTATAAAAATGGCCTTTATTTCTGTAACCACATGCTCTGCTTGGCGAATGATTGCCGCTCTGCATCCTTTTCAGCTGAATCACTAATAAACCTCGGTGGCACTTCCTTCCACTTGGTGAGACCTTTTATTGGGGAAAATCAGGGATTGGATGCTTCTCTCTGTCTCGCCAGGGTAACGAACTCTTTAAAGAGTCTGATTGGTCTCTGCCTCCTGGCAAAGACCCCTAAATTCCTGCTCTACAACAACAACAACAACAACAACAACAACAATAAATATGTGGGCTGGTACGGCTGTACCAGGAGCTCCAACTTCTTTTCCTTTCTATTGAGTGTTTGCATGTATTCCAAAGTTCCATGCATTTTGCAATAAGGTGGCTTCCCTTGGTTTACAATCATAGGGCCAATGGCCCATCAATTATCATTATGTTCTTTAGTTCCGCCCCTTTTTCTGGGTTAAGGAGGGAAAAAAGGGACCTCCAGTTCAGTTCACACAGAGAAGTCTTTCGTACAGGACGTGAATCAGTTCCACCTGCAGAAAGCTTCGTCGCCAGCCGGCTCTTTGCTGGAGAAATACAGCTCCACGGTTTTACAGCCTTCGCTGGGAATTGAAATCCTTCTTTCCTCTTGGAAATCTACTAAAGGACTCTGCTTGGTAAGGACCACTCGCAGCAGCCATAACGCAATTTGGACCGGGTGTAGGGGCCCACGCCAGCAGAGCTTAACCCAGGGAGGGTGTATAGCTCTATATTTACATATGGCAGATAGGGAAGAATAGGCACAGACAGGGTAGCAACAGCAGAGATAGGATTCATTTGCATATGTGAAGCCGATTGGTCATATGCAGATTAGCGTAGGCCCAGGATTTGAAAAGGCTGCTAGGCCAAAATGACAGTTGGAGTGAGAGAGCTGAACATTCCAAAGGGGCGGAGCCAAGGTTTTGAAAGAGGCAGAGTGAGAGAGTTTGAAAATGACAGTTAGGAATCTGTGTGTGAAGAGGAGAGTTGGTTTTTGAGTGCCTGTTAGAAATAAGCAGTTATGAAGATGTGTTAAAGACTTCTGATATAGAGAAGCAGTTAGTTAAATAGAGCTCGAGTTTTAAGGAACAGAAAGAAGGCTAGTGTTGCCTTAGTTCAGAATATAATTCAGCCAAGAGTGTGTAAAGCAAGTAACATGTTTGTGAATGTGAAACATTGATAGTTTATTCAGAAAAGTTAACCAAGTAAATGATACTGACTGTAAGCCTCAAGATTGCAACAAAACACAAATGTAACCACAAGCGTTGGAGCCAGAAGTTATAAATAAACTGTGTTACTTGTTATACACAAGAGTGTTTCATTGCCTGTGATATAAAGTACAAAGGTTTAACAGCATACAGAAAGTTCCAGCCAATATAAAAGAAAAACTGAATCAGTATAAGGCAGTAAAGAGGTTTTTGTAAAGAGGAAATAGTCTCTCTCTCCCTCGCCTCACAGAGGGGTCAAGGATTTCCCTTGTAGAAGGAAGAAACAGTTTATGAAGAAAGTTGCCTGTCCCTTGTGGACAAGATTTAAGCAAGCCACCAATTGATTCAAAGCCTTGAAGTATTTGCTTGATTTATTGAAGATTTAAGCAACAATAAAAACTTTGTTGAACTTTCTAAGTCTTTAAAAGAACTTTGTGTGGGGAAATCCGAAAGGCCTCTCAGCTGAGGCACCCCGGCATCCCGTTGGGCATTCAGAAAACACGTCCTGTCTACAGACTCTTTCACAGGCCCAGTGCGTGACAGCACAGCAGGACACTACACTTGGAGGACCATCATCCTCGGACTACGAGGGATCAACTAACTAACTAACTAACTAACTAATGATTTGCGCAATGGAGAACCCCACTTTGGCTAGAACCCTCGGCCTCCAACCTACCAGCTTTCCCCGCTGCTGGGCGGAGCGACTGTCCCGCAGGGCGTACACATTCCCGCACACGGAAATCTCACGCCACACACCGGGCGTCGAGTCCTCGCTGAAGCCCCCGTTGGGGTGCATCACCAGGACCCCGTTCGTGGTCAAGCCGTCCATGAGTCCGTCCGGAGTCCTCCACTTCGCTGCCCTCTCCTGCCAAGGAAAGCAGAGAAGGGCATCACAGCACCGCTGGGTCTGGGTCGGAAAGGCCTTGGGGCCAGGGTTGCCCTCTTCTGACCCCTTCCTCACCAAGGAAGGGCATTGGGGATGCTTCGGTCAATCTGCTGAACATTTGAAATTACAATAGGCCATTCCCATTGGCAGGTTTGCCTTTTGCAGACTTCATTATTGACGGATTTGAGTCAAACATTCTCTTGCCTGTGGTCACCTAATGAAATGATACCATCACACACTCTCAGCCCAAACGACTGCAGCATTAACATAGGAGCTGGAGATTGTTCTGAAAACTGGAAAGGAAAATCTAAGGATAATATTATATACTTACAGGGATAAAAGAAGGAGATTCTTATCTCTAGCATCGGAAATGGCCCATTAGAGTAAAGAATTGTTTGGCAAAAGTTTCTGTCACTCTTCAAGTAAGATAATGGGAAATCTTCCCCTCTGCTTTTGTTTCCTTCCCATTGATAGCATTAAACCTCAGGTTGCCATCATTGTTCTCTTGTCTCACAGCCAGGAAGGATCTGGATATCTTTACACATGTTGATTCACAACACTCATGAACACAATAGATTGGCCCTGTTTGAGCTTTTTGTCTCAGGCCACATGGCATTTCCTTTGTTTAAAGACTCCTTCCCAGATTCCTTTGTGCTCTCTCATCCCGCCTCCTTCTCTCCTGATTTGCTGTTGCCACCAGATGGCAGAGGTCTCCCCATTGGATCCTACGGACCACTGGAGCTTCCTGATTGGTCCAGAGGCACTGGGGGCGGGAGGGCCACCTCCCAGCTGTTCGCCCATCGCCCAATCATGGCGGGGAACAACAGGGAAGCCGGAGCGGGGAGTTTGAACTCTGCAACTTTGAATTCACTATAAATATGACTGTATTAATGTTCTCTCCTCATGCTCTGCTGACGAATGATTGCAGCTCGGCATCCTTTTCAGCTGAATCGCAAATAAAACCTCGATGGCTTTTCTTCAACTTGGTGAGACCTTTCATTGGGAAATCAGGGAAAAACATTGGGTGCTTCTCTTCTCGCCAGAAAAAGAACTCTTTGATGAGTCTAATTGGTCCCTGCCTCCTGGCAAAGACCCCTAAATTTTAGCTCTAGACCAAAAGCGGTCGTTGGTGGTGTTCAGAATGCTCTGTGATTGTAGGTGAACTATAAATCCCAGCAACCACAACTCCCAAATGTCAAGATTCTATTTTTCCCAAACTCCACCAGTGTTCACATTTGAGCATATTGAGTATTTGTGTAGAGTTTGGTCCAGATCCATCATTGTTTGAGTCCACAGTGATCTCTGGATGTAGGTGAACTACAACTCCAAAACCAAGGACACTGCCCACCAAACCCTTCCAGTATTTTCTGTTGGTCATGGGAGAACTGTGTGCCAAGTTTGGTTCAATTCCATTGTTGGTGGGGTTCAGAATGCTCTTTGATTGTAGGTGAACTATAAATCCCAGCAACTACAACTCCCAAATGACAAAATCAATTTTTTGGAGTGAAGGACATACATTGGGTTGTTAGGTGTCTTGTGTCCAAATTTGGTGTCAATTCCCCCAGTGGTTTTTGAGTTCTGTTAATCCCACAAACGAACATTACGTTTTTATTTATATAGATTGGGATGCTCTGAGTTTTCCGGGCTGTATGGCCATGTTCCGAAGCATTCTCTCCTGATTTTCACCCACATCTATGGCAGGCATCCTCAGAGGTGTGAGGTCTGTTGGAAAACTAGGCAAGGGATGTTATATATATGGCAAGCATCCTCAGAGGTAGTGGGGTCTGTCAACCGAAAACAACCCAATAATAATAATAATAATAATAATAATAATAATAATATTTTTGTCATGTCAGGAGTGACTTGAGAAACTGCAAGTCGCTTCTGGTGTGAGAGAATTGTCCATCTGCAAGGACGTTGCCTAGGGACGCCAGATGATTTGATGTTTTATCATCCTTGTGGGAGGCTTCTCTCATGTCCCCACATGAGGAGCTGGAGCTGATAGAGGGAGCTCATCCGCCTCTCCCGGATTCGAACCTGCAACCTGTTGATCTTCAGTCCTGCCGGCACAGGGGTTTAACCCACTGTGCCACCAGGGACTCCATAATAATAATAATAATAATAATAATAATAATAATAATAATGCAGTATAGTTGTATAGTACAATATAGCAATATAGAATACTAATACTGTGCTATGCTCATAATATAATAGCTTGTCTATACATATAATATTGAAAATATGGTGTAATAAAATATAATAATAATACAATATAATAATATAATCATCTTGTAATATAGTAATACTAATAAATTAAATAGAATTACTACAGATAACATATCACAATATATAATGATAGACTGCTTTATTATTGGATATTTATATATTTTATGTTGTCATGTTTTTTATTGTGAGCCGCTTTGAGGAAAACAAAGAATATCATCCAGCATCCTATTGATGTCATATATGTAACATTTCCTTAAATGTCCTTTTTTGGACCATTATGCAATCAATGCAATGGGTCCTTAAGTAGAGCATCCATGCGACTAAGTCATTCATTCACATACAGTTGTGCATTCTTTTAATACTTATGCTCATTCAAGAATGCACAACTATGCGTCTATATGCTATACTTTGGACTTCAGCTCCCAATAGCCTAATCCGTCATTGCCGGTGATAAGGGATGATGGGAGCTGGAGTCCAAAATGTTTTGGAAACATTGGTTTGGGGATGTTGGCTGAGCACCTCTGGCCCCTGCATGGCATGTCACACAAAAGCATGCTCAAAGCATGCCAAGACAAACACACAGTCGCTCCGGTGACTCACTCACTCCAAGGAAAATGTTGCGGGAGGCATCGAAGCCGGCGGCATAAATGCGAGCCGTGTACGGAGGGTTCCTCTCGCAGATGACGCGGCAGGCAAAGCGGGAGATGGTGCTCTGGGCTGACTGGCCGTCGATGGCCGAGTTGGACCCCGATGTCGTGTCCGTCACCACAAAGTCAATCATGCTTTCCGTAGAGCGGCCGATCTGGGAAGAAAGAATGAAAGAAAGAAAGAAAGAAAGAAGGAAGGAAGGAAGGAAGGAAGGAAGGAAGGAAGGAAGAAAGAAAAGCAAACATCATCATCCTCATCATCATCATCTCTCTCTCTCTCTCTCTCTCTCTCTCTCTCTCTCTCTCTCTCTCTCTCTCTCTATATATATATATATATATATATATATATATATATATATATATCTAAGATTGTAATCATGAACCCTTTACATCTAATGAATTGGACATGGCTCTCAACAAATGTAAGAATGGCAAAGCAGCTGGCTTGGATGAGCTACGGATGGAACAAATCAAGAACTTTGGTCCAAAAGCAAGGCGCTGGCTGCTGGAGCTGATGAACAACTGCACTGCATCCTGTCAGATCCCCAAAATCTGGAGGAAAGCAAGAGTCATCGCCATCTTGAAGCCAGGCAAAGACCGTAATGACCCAAAAAGCTACAGACCAATCTCCCTGTTGTGCCACCTCTAAAAAGTTCTGGAGAGACTTATTTTGCATAGAATTATGGAAAAAATAGACCCCTGTCTGATCCCACAGCAAGCTGGCTTCAGGAAAGGCAAAAGCTGCACATCGCAAGTGCTGAACCTGACTCAGCACATAGAAGATGGCTTCGAAAGGCAGAAGATCACAAGAGCTGTCTTCATAGACCTGTCAGCGGCATATGCAACTGTGAACCACCGCCTCCTCCTGAGAAAAATGTATACTATCACAAAGGACGACCACCTCACCCGCCTCATAGGAAACCTGCTACAAAACAGGAGCTTCTTTGTTGAGTTTCAGGGCCAGAGAAGCAGATGGCGGAAACAGAAGAACGGCCTGCCTCAGGGGAGCGTGCTTGCTCCATCCATGTTCAACATCTACACAAATGACCAGCCACTGCCAGAAGGGACAGAGAGCTTCATCTATGCTGATGATTGTGCCATCACCGCTCAAGCAGGGAGCTTTGAGATGGTTGAACAGAAGCTCTCCGAAGCTCTAGGTGCTCTAACTCATTGGACTGTTAGGTGTATTGTGTCAAAATTTGGTGTCAATTCATCAGGTGGTTTCTGAGTTATGTTAATCCCACAAACGAACATTGCATTTTTATTTATATAGATTGAACTTGTACGTACCTGGAACATATCAGTTTCACTGTCGTGTGTGTACTCCACAATTACCGAGTGGCTCCGGGAAAGTGTGTATGAGATGCTGTGTTGGCCTTTGTTGCTTAGTGCCTGTTGGGCAGAAGGAAGACAATAAATACAGGGGGGAAGTGGAAAAATCACAAAACCTCCCCAGGAACTCCTATGTCCTGTAGTGTGACTCTTAAGATCAACTTCCAGCAGACATAGAGAGTCCTAGAAAAACATCTAAGAATTTCTAGCTCCTTCAGAACTAGAAAGTTGTACTGGAGGACCTAGAGAAGCCTAGACTGGATCTAAACTGTATCTTGGGAAGTCTGACTTGGCCACGGTAGTCCACGCTGTGGTTACATCCCGCTTAGACTACTGCAACACTCTCTACGTGGGGTTGCCTTTGAAGACGGCCCGGAAGCTTCAATTAGTCCAACGTGCGGCAGCCATGATACTAACAGGAGCGGAACACAGGGAGCATACAACCCCCTTGTTGTACCAGCTCCACTGGCTGCCGATTTGCTACCGGGATCAATTCAAGGTGCTGGCATTGGCCTATAAAGCCCTAAACGGTTCTGGCCCAAGATACCTAACTGACCGCCTCTCGGCCTATGAGCCCACGAGGACTTTGAGATCTTCCGGGGAGGCCCTGCTCTCGATCCCGCCTGCGTCACAGGCACGGCTGGTGGGGACGAGAGATAGGGCCTTCTCGGTGGTGGCTCCTCGGCTGTGGAACACCCTTCCCGTGGACATCAGGCTAGCCCCCTCCCTGCTAATATTCCGCAGGAAGTTAAAGACCTGGCTATTTAAGAAGGCATTTGATCAATAAGTGCAATGACTGGCAATTGACCATAGGAATGGAACACTGGAAAAGAGATCGGATTGTGGCTTGACGATGAGATGATTCGGAATGTAGTAGTGATTTTGTAGTGATGTTGTTGTTTGATAAGATGTTTTTATGATTATGATGAATTGTACACTGTTTTGCACTATGCCTTGTAGATTGCACTTGTTTTCTTCATGTTGTACACCACAATGAGTCGCCCTTGAAGGGCTGAGAATTGCGGTATATAAGCGCAGTAAATAAATAAATAAAATAAATAAATTGCTATTTGGAACGAGAAGACCCATATCATGCAGTTCCAAAGTGCAATATATATGAGTGTAGATTGGAGCCCTAATCCCATACTTACAGTTCCTTATTTTAGATTCCTTTCTTATTACTGAATCCACGTTTCCCATATGTATTGTCCCGAATCAATTAATAATAATAATAATAATAATAATAAATTAATAATTAATAATAATACCTCCTACTGTTCTGTCTGTTTCTATTGTCTATGTACTGTGATCTGCCCTGAGTCCCCTTGGGGAGATAGGACGGAATATAAATAAAGTATATAGTCACTGTTGTATGTTTTTATATTGTGTAAATGCTATTTTAAATTGTAAGTAACTCGGAGCACCTTGGTGGAGAGCGACTAATTAAGAAATAAAGTGAAGTGAAGTGAAGTATATTATTATAATTATTATATTATTATTAATATAATATTATATTATTATTATTATATTATTATTATTATATTATATTATTAATATTATATTATTATTAGTAATAATAATAATACTTTATTTATATTCCACTCTAGCTCCCCAAGGGGACTCAGGCCGGATTGTTGTTGTTGTTGTTGTTTACTCATTCAGTCACTGATAGATTACAGTACACATATATGGCAAACATTAAATACCATTATACAGTTAACAAAGACAGACTACGTAAACAGAGGTAAAGGCTTCCCATTTTTTTCCATCTCCGGCATCTGGAGGCTGTGCTCCACTCTGGCCACAAGGGGCCGCTGTTGCTCCATCGTCCCTGCTCGAACAGCTAGGTTTTGACTCAGTTCTTGTGGGTTTTTTCGGGCTATATGGCCATATTCTAGAGGCATTTTCTCCTGACGTTTCGCCTGCATCTATGGCAAGCATCCTCAGAGGTTGTGAGGTCTGTTGGAACTAGGAAAATGGGTTATATATCTGTGGAATGACCAGGGTGGGACAAAGAACTCTTGTCTGTTGGAGCTAGGTGTGAATGTTTCAACTGACCACCTTGATTAGCATTTGATGGCCTGGCAGTGCCTGGGGCAATCTTTTGTTGAGAGGTGATTAGATATGCCTGATTGTTCCCTGTCTGTTGTTTTGCTGTTGTAATTTTAGAGTTTTTTAATACTGGCAGCCAGATTTTGTTCAATTATTATTATTATTATCTTTATTTGTACCCCGCTAGCATCTCCCGAAGGACTCGATGCGGCTTACAAAGGCCGAGGCCTTAAAAACATAGCATAACCATTTTCATGGTTTCCTCCTTTTTGTTGAAATTGTCCCCATGCTTGTGGATTTCACTCGCTTCTCTGTGTAGTCTGACATGGTGGTTGTGAGAGTGGTCCAGCATTTCTGTGTTCTCAAATAATATGCTGTGTCCAGGTTGGTTCATCAGAAACATCAGGAGAAAATACCTCTAGAACATGGCCATATAGCCCGATAAAAATCTACAACAACTCAGTGATTCCGGCCACGAAAGCCTTCGACAACTTTGTTGTCGTTAGACGCTCTCCCGATCGAATTACCGGCATGTCCACATGGGCGCCTTTTATTACCTCCCCTATTTATCTACTCACATTATTGTTTTCGAACTGCTAGGTGAGCAGAAGCTGGGCTGGCGGTTGGGAGCTCAACCCAACCTCAGCTTGAACTGTTGACCTTTTGGTTGGCAACATTTTCTGCAGCTTAGCAGTTTAACCCGCTGTGCTAAAGCCCGGCCCTTTTAAGCCCATGATGGTTTGATGAGTAGCCACAAATGGACTTCCGCCTCACCTTGGACACGAGCGGCGTGGAAATGTGGTGGATGACGTCTGGCTTGACTCCGTTGGCCTTGGGCCTCTTGAACAGGGCCAACCGACTGCGGCGCCGGCCCTTGTCGCCATTGGGCAAGGAGCCATTGTACCTGTTGTGGGAGAGCCCAATGAAGTTGGGTGTTACACTTGGCTAAGCAAAACGCAGTACCAAGCTCAAGCATAGTCTCATATAATGTAGCTTAACAGCATCGGGCCGCATTATATGAATCTACACTTCCCATATGATGCTGTTTCAAACTATATGCCGATCCTAAGGTGATCCTATCAGAGATGGGCAGGAAAGGTGTATGAAAGGAAGTGGTAGTGGGGAAAAGTCATTAGTGTCTTTCTTTGCTGCAGAGATACAAGCAATATATTCATTTCAAAGCAAGCCGGCTTGTGAGTGGTTATTTAATATTGCTATTTAGATCCTACAGTCTGACAATTACACTGATCTACAATCTCAGTTACGGATACGAAATGTGCAGTTTCTTCATAAATTTAACATGCTGAATTCAAATATAATAATTAAATGTGTTAATTGGCTCTGGTTTTTATGCAACAGCTATTTCAATTTTCTCCACAATAGGTAATTCGTTAATATTATGATAATGCACCTAACCTTACTGCATGTATATAAACCGTGAATATTTACTAAATTTTAGTCAAATTATATTGCCAATAGTTTATACATGAGAAATATTTATTTAATTAGTCTATTGTTTATGTTTGTGCAGCAAAACTATATTAGTAGGCCTAATGCAGTTGAAAAGTCTGAAAGTTTAAATGTCGCTTTAATCGTGACTTTAGTTTATATCCTGTTTGCTTCTCTTGACTTTTCTTTTGTATTCAAGGAAAAGATTGTCTCTTACAATGCTCCAGCAGGAGTCTGACAGCATTGACGGAGTCCATTGGCCTTGATACCTTTTTTCCATAGTGCTTTATTTACATACGTGCGAGGCATCACTACAGTAAAAAGAACAATGTAAAACGATGTTTAACGACACTGTCTCAGTCTTCAACTGACTGACCCTCATCGTTCAAAAGTCTGGCCTTATATAGGGTTTTCTGGCTTTTGCACATGGCACTGATACTGCATCATCAAACTTTCTAGAGTATTCTAGAATCTTCCATAGTGTAAGTCGCAACATGCATTTTTTCAACCATACGTGATCACGTGATTGCTTATATCATAAAAACTAGAGCCAATATACATTTTTAAATGTCATTTTCGTTTTCAGCACCCCAAAATCATAAAAGAACAACTATTTTCAGGCCCGAAACTTTTTCTCCGTTGAACAGTGTTACTTTCCCATGCAACGTTCCATGGATTTTCTAATGTTCCAGACATTACAGATCACCTCTTGGAACTCAGTGGCCTGCAAAACGTTTGTGTGTGTGTGTGTGTGACTCTGCTCACCCCAACACGATCAGCTCTCCATACTTCACTGGCTCCTTGGTTAAGAGTAGACTGTCCCCCGCAGAAGGGTAAAGGCGTCCATTCTTGGGACAACCTCGCCGGAGGTCGATGGACTGGGACGTCACCGCTTCCGGGCTGCCTTCTAGCACCATCCTGCAAAGACAAGGCAGAGGAATCTTTAGCAATCCCTCCTGGGACCTTGAGTCGGAAATTAGGAAAATGCTATTAAAAAATGCTGGAAGTGCAGAAAGAAAGAGGGCACCTTTTTCCACATGTGGTGGACTTGCGAAAAAGCAAGGGCCTACTGGAAGAAAATACATCAGACAATACAGAAAATGCTAGATGTAAAAATACATTTAATACCGGAATTATTCTTGCTGGGCATGACAAAACCAAAAATGGAAAAAAAATACGGACAAACTATTGTTTTTGCTAACAACAGCGGCTAGAATTTGTTATGCCAAATTATGGAAATTAGAGAAAATACCAGATATAGAAGATTGGCTACAAAAAGTACTCGATATCAGAAACATGGACAGACTTACATATCTACTATCTAGATACAAAGACACTCCGATAAAAGAAACAAACTGGACGAATTAGTTAAAAGGGAAGAATTATAAGACAATAATCTAAAATAACTGAAATAAAACCTCATATGATAGAAGGAGAGAAAGTTTCAAATAAAGAAGAGCAGAAGAAAGAGAAAAAGAAAGACACCTCCATCACGATACTCAGGAAGTCTAGATCTTCACATTTTATTTTATTTTATTTTATTTTACTTTTGAGCATATATATATATATATATACAGAGAGAGAGAGAGAGAGAGAGAGATTCTGCTTCCCCCCACCCAAATAATAATAATAATAATAATAATAATAATAATTATTATTATTATCTTTTTTGTCTCTTACTTCATTGTTTCCTTCTTTCCTATCTTCTTGCAAATATTCTCCCACTTTCCCTGTAACTCTATAAAATACTCAATAAAAATTATAATTTTTTTTAAAAAAGAATACAGCCAGGCCTCCATTTACGAGGCTTGAATGAAAAGTAATGCCTCCACCTTCGTTATTTGGGTTTGGATGGGAATATTTTAATAAATCAAACGCGGAAATAATCCTTAGAAGGTGCTCTTTAACTACAACTTAGAAGGTGCTCTTTAACTACAACTTAGAAGGTGCTCTTTAACTACAACTATTCACTTTTCCACATAATCACTAGACAATTGGATACATTTCTGCCAACAATGAACAAGTTTTCTGAAGCCGTCACAGAAGAAGTCGAGGGTTGAATGAAACCCTCCTATTCTCCTTTTCTTCTTGCTCCTTGTCCACCTTTTTTTCTTCCTCTTATTTTTCCTCCTTTGTTACTTGGGTTTTGGATGGGAATATTTCAATAAATCAAACGCAGAAATAATCCTTAGAATGTGCTCTTTAACTACCACTATTCACTTTTCCACATAATCACCAGACAATTGGATACATTTCTGCCAACAATGAACAAGTTTTCTAAAGCTGTTGCGGAAGAAGTCGACACTCTGTTTCCTCAACCAGCGTCTCACAGTTTTCTCAACGTCTTCATCAGAAGCATAACGATGTCCCCTCAGATATTTCATTATCGGGAAAAGATGGAAGTCAGACGGTGCTCAATCTGGATTGAATGGAGGATGTGCTGGTACGGCCGTACCAGAAGCTCCAGCTTTATTTGCTTTGTATTAAATGTTTGCTTGCAGTCCAAGGCTTGGGATTCTGCAGAAGCGTGGCGTCCTGTTAAAGCTTGCAATTATAGGGCAGGCCACCTGTCGATCATCATTAAGCTTTGGTTCCGCCCCCTGTTCAGGCTCTGAGAGGGATAGGAACCATTTTGGTCAGTCTCAGCAAGGATAGCTAATGTACAGGACGTATACAGGCTTCTCCTGTGCAAAAGCTTCAACCCTTAAGACTTTCTGGGGGGAAACAGTCTTAAGAGCATCCAAAGATTCCCAGGGAAACAGCCCTAAAACTCTGAGGAATTTCGGAGGGAAAAACAGCTTTGAATATGAAAGAACTCCAGCTGAAGAGACTACAGGCCTTGCTGGTAGGTCCACTCGGTGCTTTGAGACGCAGTTCAACCCAGTAGTGGAGCCCACATCAGTAAGGTTTAGGTTCACAGTCAGCCTAGGAGAAGTTAGAAAGGGATTTTCCTTTAAAGTAAAGTAACAGTTAGAAGCCACCAGTTGCACAAAAGCCTGGAAGCATTTGTTTAACCTTTTGAAGACAAGAGAAGTTTCTGCTTGATTGTTCCTCAATAAAAGACTTTGTTATATTTCACAAGCCCTCTAAAGACTGTTTGTAGTGGAAAATCCCTAAGAGCTTTCTCTTCGGGACCCCTGGCTTCCCGCTGGGCTCAAGCTGCACGTCCTGTTTTAAAGGCACATCATTTCAAGCCCAGCGCGTGACAGAACAGAGGATGCCGTACGGTGGTGAGATCCAGTCTCTGAAGTTCTGCTGTGTTCTCATCGTACACAGATCTTCCGATAGCCAAGCAAAGCAATAATGTGACCCACACATTCTTGTGAAATGCCGATTATGCTTGCAATTTCTCTCTGAGTGATATGACGGTTGTCCTGAATCAATCTGTCAACCTTTTGTTTGTGAAACTCAGTGGTTGTTGTCACCGGATGCCCAACTCTTTGTTTGTCATGCAAATCAGATGTTACCACCTCAACTTCTTTAAACTGACTTGCCCAACGGTACACAGTACTCACATCAACGCAATCACCATAAACAGCTTGCATTCTCTGAGGAATCTCCTTTGGGGGTGACACCTTCTGCTGTCAAGAATTCAATAACTGCACGTTGCTCAAGTCGCATTGACCGACCGTCTGCACAGGGTTCCATACGTCGCACTTTAACAACACAACCGCTCAATGCTAAGGCTTTCTGCCAAAATGGAAATGTAGAGGGGAGTCTACTGAACAAGCCAGTACGTGCCGCATACCAGTACTGCCATCTGTTGAGGAGTTACGAAGGTGGAGGCATTACTTTTCATTCAACCCTTGTACATTGGGTTTCAGGGCATAGGAAAGCAGAAAGGAAAAACGGAGAAAATGCCTTCCTAGGAATCTTCTTGGTCTTCCTGTGCAATTCTGTGATTGGTTTTGAGGACCTAGTGATTCCAATTGAGAACACATTAACCATTGTGCACCTTATTCTTCTTTTCTTTCTTTCTTGCCTTGCTTTTTCTTCCACCTTTCTTTTCCTTCTGCACTTACTTTTCCTTCCTTTCTTTCTCTTTCCTTCTTTTTCTTTCTTCTTTCCTTTCCATCCCTTCTTTCTTCCCTCCTCTCTTCCTTCTTTTCTTTCTCCTTTCTTTCTCCCCTCTTTTTCTTCTTCCCTTCTCTTTCTTCTTTCTTCTTTCTTTCTTTCTTTCTTTCTTTCTTTCTTTCTTTCTTTCTTTCACTCTTTCCTTTCCCTTTCTTTTATTCCCTTCTTTTTCTTCCTTCCCTCCCTTTCTTTGTCCCTTCTTTCTTCCTATCCTTTCTCTTCCCTTCTTTTTCTTTCTTCCCATCCTTTCTCTTCCCTTCCATTTTCTTTCTCCCCTTCTCCCATCCCTTCTTTCTTCATTTCCTTTCTCTTCCCTTCTTTTTATTTCTACCCTTTCTTTGTTCCCTCTTTCTTCTTTTTTCCTTCATTTTTCTTTCTTTCTTTCTTCCCTCCATCCTTTATTTCCCCCTTCCTCTGTATTCCTTCTTTATCTTTCTTCCCTCCCTTTCTCTCTTCTTTCTTCCCCTTCTCTTCCCTTCTTTTTTTTTTTTCTTCCTTTCCTTCCTTTTCTTCCCTTCTTTCTCTTCACTTTTTTTCTTTCTTTCCTCTCTCCTTTCCTCCATCTCTTTCTTCCCGTCCTTTCTCTTCCCTTCTTTTTCTTTCTCCCCTTCTTCCACCCCTTCTTTCTTCATTTCTTTTCTCTACCCTTCTTTTTCTTTCTTCCTTTTCTTTGTCCCCCTTTTTCTTTTTCTTCCCTTCATTTTTCTTTCTTTCTTCCCTCTATGCTTTCTTTTCCCCTTTCTTTGTATTCCCTTGTTTTTCTTTCTTCTCTCCCTTTCTGCATCCCTTCTTTCTTCCCCTCCCTTTCTTTCCTTTTTTTCTTTCTTTCCTCTTTCTTCATCCCTTCTTTCTTCCCTTCCTTTCTCTTCCCTTTTTCTTTCTTCCCATCCTTCCTCTTCCCTTCCTTTTCTTTCTCCCTTTCTTCCACCACTTCTTTATTCATTTTCTTTCTCTTCCTTTCTTTTTCTTTCTTCCCTTTCTTTGTCCCCTCTTTCTTCTTTTTCTTCCCTACATTTTTCTTTCTTTCTTCTCTCCATCCTTTATTTCCCCCTTCCGTTGTATTCCCTTTTTAATCTTTCTTCCTTCCCTTTCTGCATACCTCCTTTCTTCCCCTTTCTCTTCCCTTATTTTTCTTTTTTCTCCTCCCTTTTTTCATCTTTCCTTCCTTCCCCTCCTTTCTCTTCCCTTTTTCTCTCTCCCTTTTTTCTTCTTTCTCTCTCCTTTCCTCCATCCCTTTCTCCGTCCTTTCTCTTCCCTTCTTTTTCTTTCTTCCTCTTCTTCCTCTTTCCTTCCTTTCTCTTCTCCCTCTCTCTTTCTCCTTTCTCCTTCTTCTTCTTCCTTCCCTCCTTTTTCTTCTTTCTTCCCTCCTCCCTCTTCCTTTTCCTTTCTCTTCCTTCTTTTTCTTTCTCCCTCCTTTCTTTCTCCCTTCTTTCTCCCTTCCTTTCTCTACTCTTCTTTCTTTCCTTCTTTTCTTCCTTCTCTTTTTCCTTCTTTCCCTTCTTTTCCTTCTTCCTCTTTTCTTCTCCTTCTTTCTCTTCTTCCTCCCTTTCTTCACTCCTTCTTCTTTTTCTCTTCCCTTCTTTCTCCTTCTTCCTCCTTCCTCCTTTTCCCCTTCTTTTCTTTCTCCTTCTTTATCCCTTCTTTTCCTTCCTTCCTTTTCCTTTCCTTCCCTCTTCTTTCCTTTTTTTCCTTCCCTCTTTCTTCCTCTTTTCCTTTCTCCTTCCCTCTTTTCCTTCCTTTCTTCCTTCCTTCCTTCCCTTCCTTCCTCCTCCTCTTCTTCCCTCTCCTCTTTCTTTTTCCCTCCCTTTCTGCATTCCTTCTTCCTTTTCTCTTCTCTTCATTTT